TGCACTTTGAGCCTTTATTTCACCCCCTGAACATGCATGAAAAGTTGTAAAATTTTGACCAAACATCAGACCTGGTGAAAAATTTGATATTTTGGTGTTTATTTTTATGGGACTCAAAAAATGCCAGAACAGCGCCACCTACAACAGCCAATGGGAGTTTCAGAGGTCAAGTTTGTCGTAGAGCCATGAAATTCGGTACACATGTTCCTCAAGTCAAGATACGACCGAAATGTTATCATGGCTCCGCCCTCTGACAAACAGGAGGCCCATAAATTTCACTGCAAAATGGAAAAATGAACAGCAAAAGTTTTCATACATGTCGGTTGGAAAGCGACTCCTCCTCGGCCGTTTCACCGATTGGCCTCCATATCACTCCACATTGTCTAAACACATGTACCATCAAAATGACCTCAGGGATTTTTGATCAGTGAAACGTTGTTTGAGCAGCGGAGCGGCAAAATGTGAGTGTTTATTGGCCGTTTTTCACAACCTTCTATTTGCTCCCGTTTACACATACAAATTCCGATTTGCACAAAACTTGAATCCATGGTTCAACTCTAGGGTCTAGGTCATTTGAAAGTGAAATAATTGAACTTGGCTCATTAACGCCCCCTACAGACTATTTCAGAGTTTTTAGTATGAAAAACTCTGAAAACTTTGACTCCATCTGTAGGGGCACTAATGAGCCAAGTTCTTTTATTTCACTTTTAATTGACCTAGACCCTAGAGTTAAACAATGTATTAAAGTTTTGTGCAAATCAGACTTTGTATGTGCAAACGGGAGCAAATTTAATATTGTCCAAAACGGCCAAAAAAAGGTCACAATTTGCAGCTCCCCTGTTCGAACAACGTTTCACTGATGAAAAATCGCCGAAGTCATTTTCAAGGTACATGTGTTGAGATGATGTGGAGCGATTTTGAGGCGAATCGGTGAAACGGCCGAGGAGGAGTCGCTTTCCAACCGACATGTATGAAAATGATTGCTGTTCATTTTTCCATTTTGCAGTGAAATTTATGGGCTTCCTGTATGTCAGAGGGCGGGGCCATAATAACATTTTTTTCATGTCTTGACTTGAGGAACATGTGTACCGAATTTCATGGCTCTACGACAAACTTGACCTCCGAAAAATCCCATGGGGGTTATTATTAGGCCCGAGCCCCGAACGGGGAAAGGGCCTATTGTTTTTGCTCGAGAGATGTCAAATTCTGCACTTTGAGCCTTTATTTCACCCCCTGAACATGCATGAAAAGTTGTAAAATTTTGACCAAACATCAGACCTGGTGAAAAATTTGATATTTTGGTGTTTATTTTTATGGGACTCAAAAAATGCCAGAACAGCGCCACCTACAACAGCCAATGGGAGTTTCAGAGGTCAAGTTTGTCGTAGAGCCATGAAATTCGGTACACATGTTCCTCAAGTCAAGATACGACCGAAATGTTATCATGGCTTCCGCCCTCTGACAAACAGGAGGCCCATAAATTTCACTGCAAAATGGAAAAATGAACAGCAAAAGTTTTCATACATGTCGGTTGGAAAGCGACTCCTCCTCGGCCGTTTCACCGATTGGCCTCCATATCACTCCACATTGTCTAAACACATGTACCATCAAAATGACCTCAGGGATTTTTGATCAGTGAAACGTTGTTTGAGCAGCGGAGCGGCAAAATGTGAGTGTTTATTGGCCGTTTTTCACAACCTTCTATTTGCTCCCGTTTACACATACAAATTCCGATTTGCACAAAACTTGAATCCATGGTACGCTTCATACATATTTCATCACATTTTCTGGTGAAGACTTTTTGTGTTTCTGAAACATAAAATGGAAGTAAATAGTCTTATCATTTTGAACGTCCAAAAGCATGTCTTCTTTCTGGACTTTTTGATCAATTCAAACGGCTTCCAGAGATTCTAAGTTGTAAAGATACCCCTCAGATACGTCCACAGTTCACTTTGCTCTCTTGGAAGTGCATTAGCATGTATTTGTTGTTTTAATTTCTTCTCATGCATTTTAATAGATCCTATAAATATCCTAACGTCCACAGCAATGCGACCTTTATGAGTACCAAGAATAACACGCCGAGGAAGGCCGGGATAGTGCAGTCTGTGTTTCTGATGATACGCAGCGTTCATTTGCCACATTAATTAGGAGCTCAGGGCAGCGGTGGCAGGATGATGGACAGGCCCAGTCACGGGGGGACCTCTGATAGTATGCCAAAGCTTGCTGTCCAGTGCCTGATTTATGGACAGTAAGTTGAACATTTGAAAGCTTTCCAGGAGTCAGTGGAGTTAGTGGTCGCGGAGTTGCACATGGATCGACTTTAGGCCAGGATCCGAGGGACACAATTCATGTTGTTAAAAGTAATTGTATTATTCACAACTTTGATTTGATTTATTTTGTTTTCAACCAACTAAGTAATCAATTACCAGTAGTAAATTGTTTTTATTTAAAGAGGCTTCAGATTTAAGATAATTCTTTAATCACTTCAAACTAAGTATTTTTAATCAAACAACCCAATGTGTAACAAGCCTTTGGGATACAAACAAGAAAGGAACTGATCGATTATCAAAAGAATGTTTAGTTATAGCCCTACATCCACTTCTTGGCAGAAAAGCAATGGCCAGTTTTCTATTAACGGATTCACAAAAGTAGACATAGGTGACACTGGCTCACTCTGAATTCATATTGAACATCAAGATGCTTTAATTCACCCACTTTAACAGAAACATACTGACTGGTTTATTATGTATTCCCATAAGTTACCACTGAAGAAGCAGCAGTCACCCATGTGGTCCACCACATTCAAACAAATTCAAATAAATTCAAATAAAAAAAGGAAAGCAAATATTCAAGAACCAGTCTTACTCAGCTTTCTTAAAGGCACAATGCACCATTTAGAATTAGCCATGTTTGATCTGTCCCAAGATACAAGGTCAACAAATTATTATCTATTCCACAAATTACTATATTATATTAGTATTGGAAGAATCTGATTTTTGACAATTTTGGAAACTTGTCTTTCACAAAAAGGTATTTCAATAGATTTCTTTTGTTTAATTGGTGAAACTATGCAATTGTATGAAGATTAGGTTCAAGTTTGGCGGGGACCTCACTTGTAAATTCAGAGTGGCCATTTTGTTGTGCCAGCTGTTGCTTGATGTATTCTAGTCATCAACCCCACATGTGCAAATAATGCTTCTCATGACTGGGGGAATATCAGAACGGCTGATTAGCAGACTGGCATGCATGAGCACAACCGCTGCCTGGCAGAGAGCGCACCAGACAGGACGCAAAGATGAAAGCACTTTGGACTGGACTCGATGGCATTGACTATCAGGCTACATCAGTAATCAGTTTGAGTCAAAATAAGTGTGTAGATTTAAATTCACATCCGTCTCAATTAGTATTTTGTTTCATGCGAGACATAGAAGAAAATTGACTAAATAGCTTTAAAATGGAAAGCATTGTTTTCTCATTTTGCTCAATTTCTTGTGATTCATGATTTTTTAAGGATTTTTTCTTAATTTCTTTGCATTAATGGGACAGTATGTTCGTTTTATACAAAATATATCTGTATAAATCAATAATTAAGACTAATATCACTTTTTTGCTAATGTATTTATAATTACATTACAGTTATATTCTTATGCTGCGTATTCAATCAGAAATCAGAAAGAGCCTCTCATTTGGGTTGCCAGTTCCTTTGATGAAATCCAGCATGGTCTGTACCTAAAGCTCAGACCTGTGGGACATCAGTCATCAGCTCAGTCTGAGCAGCAGCATTGTGTCCTCTGTTTACAGGTAAATACACTATGTTGGCACCACACTGTTTAGATTTAATTGTACAACCCTTATTTAGACAGTATATTTATAATGAAAGTGCAAGAGCATAGTGAGCACACACACACACACACACACACACACACGCACACACGCGCTAACCCTTGATAAATGTACCCCTTGTACATACTGTCCCTTCAGACACAAATTCTCAATCAATTTCAATTTCTCGCCATTTTAACATTGACTGACAGCACCGTTAAAGGGCCTTATGGTATTATATCAATATTTCCATTATTATTTAATTACAATTTTGAAAATAAAATAGGACCAAGTGTTCTATATTGTAATTATAGCACATGATGATGCAAGATGTATTAAGTTAGTATTACATGTGTTTAACCTTTTATGGCATTGAATCTTAAATGTGATCCTGATTTGTTTTGACCCCCCCCCCCACTAAAGTTACGTACTGGTGCTTTTAAGATTATTGTACTTTTGATCATAGTATTATTATAATTTACCACTTAATATGCAAGTGGTAAATTACCACTTCCTAATGTACTGTCGTGATAGTGGTGTTATCATCTGTCCAAATGCTCGTATGTAAATTGACTTATTATTTTCAATAGTTTTCGCTGATTTTTTGCAACATGTGTTCGTTCTTGTTTCCTTGTTGGTCTTGTCAGTACCAGCCGGTTTCAATTTAAGAATGCCATTAGTAGCAGACATCACATCCACGGTGGCCTGTTACTGCTTATTTTTATAGGGAGTTATGAAGAGATTGAACATATTATTTTGTATTGAATGTTGGATATGAAATGCATTAAACGTTGATGCACAAAAATTTACAAATGAGGAACCAACAAAACAAGCAGAACATTATCTATTTCTTTTTTAATGGCGTTGGCGTCGCATTTGATTCATGGGAGCCCAGCATGAGGCAGTTCTATCCATTGTTTATAATGAATGATATAATCTCTTGCACATATTTTTTGAAGAACCAAATTTTGAAGCAAAAATTGAAGCCACCTTGGTAATCATTTTGGTTATTCTCTGTCATTTGATTGAATACAGCTTTCCTACTGATTCATTTCATTCATTGACCATTATAGATCACAAACCGCAAACTGCTCAACAATTCCTATACCCCTGGAGCTGGGCGTCTTGAAATTGGCCCATTCGGAGATTATAAATATGGCTATTTGATGGCTGTGTTATTACGGTGGAGCAGGGGAGCGGTAGGTTTTGTGGCCGCAGGTCAGATAGTTGTCCTTGATGTGGGCGGGAGCTTTGAGCTTCCCGACCGCACGCTTCTGTGCTCTGCTACAGGAAAAACTCAGGAGACCACGTCTAACTGAAGATGCATGTGCAAATCGGCCATCCACGTGCACTTAATAAAAAACGAGGTGATATATAAAATAGTTAGCCTGCCCTTTCACCACACAATGCAGGAAATGGTTGAGTAAATGACAGCACGGTGGCCAGTTCAGTAATTGCCGCGTAAATATTTGCTTTAAAAAGATTTACCTCATTCCTTACGGGTACTCCTATATCCTGATCCTAAATGTGGCTTTTATTGGGCTAAGAAAGATAAAACTAATTGCTTCCATCGTTGGGTACAATAAGGGCACATTTTTATCTTCTTAGTTGCTATAAAAATGGATGTTTTCTAGCCGTTACATGTGTTTGTTGTTTAGCAGTGTTTTCCCTGTGTGTGTCTAGGATGCACTTGTGGCCGTGGTCTACAGCAGCAAATGTCGGCAGGAGCTTAGTACGCACCATAAGTCTTTATTGTCCCTTGTGAGCTGCATTTCCAGTAAACAGGTTGTTATGGAAGCCAAGAACTCATTTGTGTCTGTGTGCTCTGAGGTCAAGGTTAGAGTCGTCAAGTCAAACGTAAATGGCAGAAAGTACATGGCGCAGCAGGAGCTTTTAACTGTCTAATTTTAACAAGAACCTAGGGCTGTTTTCTCTCTCCCCCTTTTCCTCTCCATTTCCGTTGCATTTGGCTATCTAGCATGTCTCGAGTACTTATTGCCGGGCAGTAGCAGTGAGGCTGATTCAGCCCTCTGCACTATTCTTGTTGATGCAGTCTGTCTGATGGTCAAATGCCATTGCAGGGTTTTTCCTTCTTCTGGTGCAATGCAACACATCATCTGCTGGCTTTTTCATGAAGCCTAATCAAGCCATTTCAAAACAAATGTATGTGTTTATACCTTATTAAACAAGAGACGTGGAAGACATAATTGTACAGTGTCAATCAGACCTTCTTCAGAAAGTAATGTTCATCTACTGTATGAATATCATACTCTAACAATTTCTCAAACTATACCACTGAAGAGCTTCTTATAAATATTGCCCCAAACACTTTAAATTATTATGGCGACAAAGGCATCGCACCAGACATTAAGACAAATAGTCTTTGCTTTGGTTCTACTCCCACTCTTACTTTCATTGGTTTATGTCTGGCTTTTAAATTGCCCCATTCCTAGAAAGTCAAATAAATAGGGTAAAGACTGCACTTGCAAACTGTCTGTCTATCCTGTCATCTATGAAGATGTGAGATAAATTGAAGCATGTCTAATATTAGTGTATGGAGGAAGGGCTCAAATTTAAACCATGTGTCTCCATGTAATCACGCAATCTACAATGGGAGAAGAAAGGTAGAACTGCCACTGTCAAATGACACAAGCGGCTTATTATGGGTGTTGAGAATGTAGTGTCCTCAAAAATAGCGTAACCGTCATCATATTATCGCATCTGAGAGGAAATTCAAATCGGCTCCACTGTCAAAGACACAAAGAAGGCTTTAAACACACGCAGACCGAGGCGTAGGGACATAGAGCTCTGAATGAAGATGATTGATGGGATGCCCGAGGACAGTGAAAGCAGTGCAGAGATATGCTGACAGAAAGTGTGTATCTGACAGTAAAGATCTGGAGGTGTGTCTGCTCTCACTCTGACCCACATGTCTTGATGCACACACAAACCTCGCTCTCATCAGTCATCTCTCACTCTGCTTTTGATAGTTGACATGGCTGCCATCAGCTGGATATGGAAAAAGCAAAAGGCTGAGGGCTTGAAACCCTACGCCCCATCGAAAGGATAACCAACTTCAGCAGATTGTGTGGAATGTTTCAACTGGAAGTTAATCCCTAAAATAAGAGCCAGTCCACTTCTATCAGTTATGTAAGTCTAACCCATGCCAACAACTAATCTAATGATGTATATCATGTGCAGACTTTGTCAAAAGCTTTTATATCAGAATCAGAATCAGAATCATTTTTATTGCCACGTGAGTAACAAAGTTATCACTTGGAAATTGTTTTGGCAGAGAGCGTGCCACTTCGCCATTTGCGGCGCTGTGTGCAGCAAGAAACAGCAGAGAGCAATAACATACAGTTCACAGACAATTGGATAGACACATTGTGCTTTTTATAAACCACGGATTTTTTTCTCGGGAAGAGCACCTCTTCGGCCGGCCCAATGTAGCTGTCAGAGGGGGGCGGGATCAGGGAGGGGGTGAGTAGGAAAACAATAAGGAATGGAGGGGAGGGAGGGAGCAAGATGGATAGGTAGAGGGAGGCGGGGGTGGGGGATCCTTGCTGAAGACTGAAATAGTGTGAGTTGTTGTAGATTGTGGGACCTTGTTTATGGCCTTGGCTGAGGAATGTGAGATAAGAGTGGAGAGAAGCCACAGGAGGAGAAAAACACATCGCCTGCAATGTCGCAGTCAAAAGCAGGCAGATATTCTATTAATTCCAATTAAACCGAATTCCGGTGCCCTCAGACCTCCGTACACAGGGGCAAATCCAAGCCGGGTCAGAGAGATCAAGCCTGACAAACAATGTCATTCAATCTCAATTCCAAGGTCTTATGTCCATCAAGTGAACGAGCTGCGAGGTCTTTGATCAACTGTTCCACCAAAACCACCCTTCTTTGTCCAGACACGGCACTCTCAACCACGACACGGCTAAGCTCCTTGTACATCCCATCAATTTTATCGGCCAGCAGGTCGTGAATCTTGCGAACTGCCATGCCTCCGAATTTGTGGTAGAAGAGGATCGCTCCAAACCCAAACAGGAGGATTCCCACCACCAAAATGCCAAAGATATATACGTCTTCCGAATCTTCAATGGACAGGGTCGACAGACAGAGGGGCTGCCACTTGTTCCAGCTGTCAAGAGTATACCCCGCTGGTGAAGTCCCGTCCGGACACACGGGCTCTCCAGACCCACGCTTACGTGTTGAAAAGATAGAATCAATTGCGTTGAGGGACCAATTAATCATTTCCATTCTGTTAGAGTTGTCTGTGGCAAAGCTCCAGGAAAAAAGACAAAAACAGGAGATAGCAAGCCGTTCAGAAGCAGGAGCGGACTAAGACACGTCTTTGCTCGACGGAGGAGGAAGGAGGAGGGTGATATTATATTGAGGGTGTTGTGATTTCAGAAAATCTCCAGATCATTTTACCTCCTGAAATTGAAGGAGCTTGACTTGCTGGTCATAATAAATTATGTCACATAAATCAATCCACCAAAAAGGGACCTGTGGAAGAAAATCTCTATTCATGATGAGAAGAATGAAGGCATTGTCTGGGCAGCAGCGCTTACACTGTACTGCAGCCCGCGTTAAACAGACAAATCACCCCAGGCCGTCATGAGTGATGCATTGTGGGAGGCAGGATGAATACTACTTTCCCCCACGGTTTTCCTCCCAGAAATTAAAAGTCTTCATAAGAGTTGGACAAAGTTTGTAACTCGCTGACACACTGCAAAGCCCTGCTGGAATTGAAACAGGGCCTTAAGTCCAACGACAATAGCCATGTATTTATTTTTTATCTCTTGAACTCAATCTTTATCCTTAGAAGCTAATTTCTTCTTCCGGCAGGAAGGCTGCACGTCAATGGGTAATATCTAAGATTTGAATTTTTAGTCCTGTTGAATGATATACAATTATACAAAAAATAAAAGATAATCCACATTATACTTTAATCTTTATTGAATCTATATAAGGGACAGCGTACAGAGACATTAAGCTCATAGAGACAGATGTTCTGCACCAGATTTTAGCTAGATGGCTTCCATCTGCAGTCCCTACAATTTCTAAGGGACAATTAGTAAATTTGTCCAAGAGTGATATTTGCAGAACAAGTTTCAAAAGTATCTTCGTCATCTGGAAGCTTTAAGTTCCATCAAGGAGTATTTTTCCAATCTCATTGGATTCAGGAACATTTTTCTCTTTTGTTTTCTCAATCCTGCAATTATTTGCATTTTTCAGTTAGTTTTTTAATCCATTCTGGGAACATGCTTCTGAATGAGAGACTTGGTCTTTTCACAAACCATAGAGAGTGAAGGCTGCTTTAATTTCACATGTTCCTAGTTTATTACAATTTTATTGTAATTTTATTCCTTATGATTTTGCTGGGCATCAGGTGAGTGGGGAGTCATGGTCCCTGCTCTTGTGCACATCTGTGAGGCAGCTGTGTGTGTTTACACCTGACCCCAGCCCAGTCATAGTCTGGGTCACCCCTTCACCCTCCCCCTTCCACCCAAAACACTTTCCTTTCCTTCTGTCGAAGAAACTCCACTGCTTAGTCCTCCTCTTAATCATCCACAAGCCACGCTGCAGATATAAGCCAATGTAACACCAGCGAGAAGTGGTTTGACAGAGAATGCTTTCAAATGTGAAGTCAAACAAATCCAATGTTTGTGGAAGACTGCTAAGCCAGAGAATGGTGGAAAACTGGGATGGGAAGTGGGGAAATTTCAAAAAGGGAACTAGCAATTCATTGTGGCAAATGCAGTGCAGTTCTTTCATGTTTACGCTAAATTATTTCCACAAAAAAACATTGACACTGCATCACTGCAAATCACTACAAGATACTCAAAGATGCGGGTGTCCTTTTTATCTAAATTAAACTGCTTTGAGAGGACTAGTGTTTACACTCTCATGAGCATGGGATGTCATGTTTGACTGATCACTAAACAACTCTAATCGCCATGATAAAATGGAGAATTAAAATCAACGTTTGGTAAACACAAGTCTGGAGTCAGAAGAATAAGGCTTTTCATACAAAGGACTTTTTACTCAACTCTGTTTTTGTTGGTCTGTAGGTGGCCAACCACTGGGCACAGTTCAAGTAATGACATCTGTTTGTTTGCTTTGTTGTTGTCATTTTGAGGAAACAAACAAATCTTGGTAATTATGACTTGAATCATCCGGGTTCTGTTCTGTCCAGTCGGTTATCCATGAGATAAGATATATTTATATTGCCTGTAGGGATTACTGTTACCTGACTCTAGCCAGATCCATGTAGTTCCGCCATGTTCCACTGGAGGCGTTTCGCTGCGCTCCACTGAAGTATCTGGGATATTTCTTAGATGTGACGAAGCGCCAAAGCGACTGTTTGATTCAAACGATGTGAGTGGTTGAAGTTGCACGTCATGCAAGATAACGGTGGTTTATGCAATCACATACAATGATTTTTTTTTTTACATGGTCCGGCCTTCTGAAATACATCTATTGTGAAAGAATCCCAGATTCTTGTGTGTAGCTCAGCGAACTACAAGGATCTAAGGAGAGTCTCATTTTTTTGGCAAATTAAGTTACTCCAGGTCTATTTCTGATGAGGAACAATAATGTGATGATATTGTGGTTAAAAGATTAAGAAGCTTTTAAGTGTATGAAACCTAATGTAACCACACTATTTAATAATTTGTGTTTTTTTTTTGTTTTGTTATCAGTAAGTTATTTATATTGAGCAAAATCACATTCCACTAGTGTGTTACATTGTATATCCCGGCAGCACTCGGACTGGCATGGCTTTGCATTGTTTAGGGGTCACATGGATGAGCAGTTTTGCTACAGATTGGTTGCTTTTAATTAGTGCACTTGGTATGGATCACCAAGCTCACCACCAATTCATGGAAGATGTGAACGTGCCCCTTTTGTAGACACAGCTGAATTTGAGGCTCAGCCATTACTGTATGTCTGTATTCAACACAATACTCAATGTGCATGCCAGACCTCGGCAATTAGCTTCTTAAGTTCCCCTCTTTTTTGCCTTTTGTCTCTCTTTTGAATGTTGAAGCCTGGAATGGTTGAATATAATCAAGTCAAGAAAAGTTTATTCTGTTTGGAATTCCATCTAGTTCCAGGGGGGATAATTTTAGTGCTGTGGGATAGTGAGGCTGCATGTACCATCCTACTTACAGCTGTGGGGGTGGGAGGGGGGATTCTCCTGCAGACACCCAGGCTCCTAGGCAATAGACTGGCCGACTGGTGTTTCTAAACACTGCTGTAGTTCTTCTCCAATCACTCAGCACAAACTTTGTTCCAACAAAATGTGTCGTTTTTGCAATTACCATGGAGTCCAAGAGATTTTTTTCTTTATTCATTCTGCCTTCACACTCTCTTGATGTAATCCTTACATATTCTGTAGTGTAACCAGTAGAGAAATATACATGTTATTTAGTGTTTTATGCAATGCTTTGAAGGATTGAAATGACAAAACTTTGACTCGAAACACAGTAATTCATCAAGATCTGTGTGAAATTGTAGTATTTTCTTCAGCTCTTCAGCAGTAGTGTACTCGGCTAAACTCCAGACTCCAGGCTGTTTGTGGAAAAATGTGTGACTGTGTACTGAGGTTATCCCTCGAGGGCCTTTGTGTTAACTCCAGCTATGATCCGGAAGTGTGTGTGGTGCGTTACAGCTCCATGCGCATGCTTTATTTCACTTTTTATTATTAACTTGAGGTGCGCATAATAGGGATTGAATGGACAAGTCAACTAGACTTCTGCGTTGTCTCGCGACTTGTTGCTGCAGTATGTACAAGGGGAAGAAAGACTGCCCATCTGGAGCGCTACAGCAGCAGAAACCCACACCAAAAATGAGAAAACCAATATTGTTAGTAGAATATGACAGTTGCCTGTAAAAGTTGCGGAGTAAAACTGTTGAGCTTGTTTGCACAACTGTGATTAGTCCTGAGGATGTACTGCAGCATTTCTGTAGTCCTGCTCCAGACCCTCAGCGTGGTGTTTATGGTCCTGTTTTTTTTACAGTGTCAAGATTTTACATTGTGGCTTTGACATCTCTGCAGCAGATTTATAGCAAATTTAAATAAATATGACAGGAAGATTTTAGTCCCGGTTTGCTGTACATGACCTGATACCATGACGTCATAGACTATAGTCAAAGTCGACTCGGCGAGTATGCACATAAAGTGTACTTCAACTCCTAGCTCATACAGAGTCGTATCATGGCAAGAACATTTTGTTGTGGACTCTTTCCAAAAACACTATGGCTGAGTCAAAAATACATTTAATTTATTTATTTTTCCCAGTATTCTCAGAAAAAAGTGAACAGTACAATATTTACAATGGTGATGGCCGTTGTTTTTTCCTATCAGGTGGTTCTCGTCTACACAGATGCCCCACTGTGTGTCCCATTCAGTCCCATTACAGAACTTACCAGGCCCTGCCCTGCTAAGCTGAGGTCTACGGTCTGATGGGATCAGGCTTTTCACATGAAGGGGCAATACAGTCGATTCCACCTCCATAAGGAGCATTTTCTGTAGAGGTTGCATGTTCTCCCTATGTCTGCACAGGTTTTCTCTATGTGCTCCGGTTCCCCCATCACATTAAAACATGGCTACAATCTGAAGAGGGGTGTTCATTAACATGCACTGTCCAAAACAAATAAACAATAAATAAAATAAATAACAATGGGCCTGCTATGGCCCCCTGTAAGACAACCCCACTTCGATCACTGTGTGTGGCTTAAGAGGACAAATACCTACAACAATTGCATAGTGCTTTGTGTTTATGAAAGAAGCTTTGTAAATAAGATGACTCACTGTCTTGATTAATCAGAGATTATTTGGATCTGGACATATGAGTTTTCACTTTTACATTATGGAAAACATGTATTCATTTTAAAAAAAAGGTTTAACTTTGGGTGTTATTTGAGTTGAATCCCAGTAGATATTTGCTACCACTTATCTGCTGTGTAGGGACCGTTTTCTATATGTTTGCAGGTCTGAATGGTGCGTCTTCATCATTTCAGACATCTGACTGGCCTCAGACATATAATAGAGGCAGACTTGTCCCATGTTTGGCTTGTATTACAGTAGAAGAGAAAGCTTTTCTATAGAAAGCAAAAAGCTTATATACATATATACTAACCTCTGTGGGACTCCAATGGCCCTGTCCAGAACTAAAGCTTAGTTCAAGCACTGCTTGGGCTAATATTTTATATTTAGAGGGAACCAAAACCATTTATTTTCTTATCCGTAGACAATAATGTACCCCTCCTATGTCTTATATAACTGTTTTTAGCCATTCTAATAAAGTTAATTGTCTTTTTTCATGCAGGGTATACTTAACCCTGGCTAACACAATAACCAAACTCCTTCTATATTACTTTAAACTGTAAACATTTAATTCGGTATACAATTAAATGTATAGCAGCTCAGACAATCTCACCATGTTGTGTTGTGAGGTATTAAACAACAATGTCACAAACTGGTTTGTGTTTTTAGACATTGAAGCTGTTCTGATATCTAGTTCTGCGCCAATAGAACACTAGATTCCCTGTTTTAGTTTTTCCTACCGTTTTTACTTTAATTACTTGACGGAGAAGGATGGATTGGTCATTAGAAAGTCTGTTATTAATCTTAGTCTGCAATCTTAACAAATGAACGTTGCAATCATATGGAAACAATCTGGCCCTTGCCCTCTAGGAGACAAAAAACAGAGCCAAATGAAGAACATCCTTTCTCTTAAGACCTATAATTTGTTTTTATTACCTATTAGGTGAAACACCTCATTTATCAATGTCAAACTCCTCACAAGATGATAGCTGTCCACATGTAAATCATCTAATGGCATGTATGGTTCAGAATTAAGTGGGCTCTTTCTTATGAAATACTCCACTCTGTAGGCTCAGTGACCCAGCGAAGCCACCCACGACCAGACGTTTTTCTTTGACACAGCAGAGCTGCAGTGAACACTTAAAACAGACCTGATTAAGCACAGACCAAGTGTGTTTCTGCACCTCACAGCCAGACAAGTAATGCATGTAATACAAGACTCAAGGTTACATTACAATAATTGGACACAATTTTAATCACTACTTCATTCTCTTGTTTCATTATGCTAAATTAAACACATTTTATATCCCAGCCTTTTGGTGCAAAGCGCAGTCTTGTGGAAATCGCACATTTGCGTCCAACCAAGGCCTTTACCATTATTCAACATACTGCTTACAATGCCATCATAAGCAGTGCGGACCGCTACTCTCAGCAAGGCTACAACATGATGAATGACAGGTCTCGACTGAACTGTGCCAAGTAACACAACTCAAAATACATGATACGGAACCGTCCAATACTACTGTAGAGAATATGTGTCAATCTGGCAGTCCTCTCCAGAACAAGGACCACACACTCTTTATTATGGCCAGTAAAATGTCCCAAAGAAGAGCCTGACACCTTCCGCCTTGCTGTTATGAACAATAGTAGAATTGTGTGGCTCCTCACTTTTCCTTTTTGTAGGCTTATTATTTTTTTCTAACATTTGTTATTCTCACTTAAACTCGAGGCTGGCTCCACCAGTGGGCCACAGAGTCTCCGAACCGGGCCTGCTCAGGCCAGGAAAAACCCGTTGGAGCCAGACAAATAAAAAGCTGAAGCGCCGACGCCGCACGGCTCCCAATCTGGTTCCTGTCAGGGGGACATCAAGGGAACACCCGCAACGCAATCTCCGTAGTCCCCCCTTCCCTCCCCCTCCTGCCTATGCCTGCAGTGCTCCCCACCCTTCAGCGGTACGTCTTACAGATGACTGAACCATCGCCAGACGCTCCCAAAAGTTGGGCTCCTTTTTCCCCCCATCTCTTTTTCTGTCTCGGGTCTTGTATGGAGCCAACCCACATGGATTGGGATCAATTTAGGATGAAATGATAATTACCTTGTCATTTTCAATTGTAATGCAATGATGGGAGAAACAGGAAATGTAAAAAACATAAATTAAAAATCATCCACTTTACAAATGTCAAACAAGGTTGAAACTTGTCTGTTAAGAATAAGTTAGGTGGCTTATCTATCATCTTTATACCTTTTTGAAGAATTCTATTTTAAATCAGAACTGGCAATGAAGGACTCTGATCATAAGTCAACTGTACTTGTGCTTGCCTCAAATAAAAACATTTGGGCATTATAAGATCTGTGATAGTGTGCAGCTAACAGTAGCCGGCTCAAACCCTGTCATGTCGGCTGTTTCACAGCTGATGTATGAAGCTGATTCCTGCAGGCCGCTGTGCTCTGCCTGGATTTGTTTAACCCAGCAGATCAACCCTCAGACAGGAGCATGTGTGCAGGTAATGGCTCCCAGATGAGGTGAGAGCAGCTCTCAGAGGCCTCTTGGACACTGTGGAGAAACGGCACACAAACACACGAGCCCAAATGTTTATCGAGACAACAGCAAATGAAAATGTCAATATTTATCATCATCATGTTGCCTCCTTATAGATGTATGAATGGAATCTGTGTTTTTTTTTTTTCTATTTAAACTTTTGAGTAAAAGTTTATTCAAAGTTGCATTTGCTCTCATGTTGCCAGCTGGAGAGTGACGACAGTTACCAAATCCTATCAGACTTGGTCGTATACAAACATCCACTGATGCTGAATGGATCTGCTCTTGCAGAGAAAGATTACCAAGCCATGTCTGGACATTGGTTTGGAGCTCCGTGTGCTTTACCAACCACAGTCTAGCATCATGAACAGCCTGCTGTAATGAGGTGCACTAGAACTAATAGGTCTTTCCAGTCTGCGTACTCATTTAGAAAGCAAACAAATAACTGTCAAAGATTAAACAGGGCCGGTGCATCTTTGGCACAACCTTGGGCCACCCACAAGGCCAGAGTGGAGGTAGGTATTTATTTGTGTATTTAAAAGATTACCCTTTTGGTTTTAGCAAAACGAGTAATGTCTGCAACTTTAATACAAAATCAATTGAGGATTTGTTTTCACAAAGTATCTTTTAAAAACCAGTCATTCTTTCCTCTATCATCATGTTCTGGGGTCTGGCTGGGTGGCTTTCAATTCATTTGTTCCCTTTGCTGTTCAGACAGAAAATGAGCAGTCATTTTCCAAATGTAAGTAGAAACCCATCACTCATAGGTTGAGCTAGCATTATTCTGTGTGAAATAAATTAAATTAGCCTTTATTCCATCTTTTTCCCTTAATATAATGATTAAAGGTATAACATGTCAGAAAGACATATGCAGCCCAGCAAGGGAGGTAAGCTTTGTGAAAAAACACAAAGACGGAAACTGTACCACCCATGCTCGCATGCTGTTTTACAAGCTGTCCTCATGTACATTTAAAAAATGAATCCTGAAGTTGATATTTTATTTGACCTTCTGCAAGAACATTCATCAGACCTGCATCCACCAGGGAGCTCCCCACATCTCCTGCGCTTTAATTTATAACTGCAACCCAGCAAGAGGCAACAGGAGAACAAACTAGGCCCTGGGGTTTGATAAAGAAGTCTGGTGATGAAAAGGCCTCCACCAGCCTCACTTTATGCACTCACGCACACTGCCATGCACACTTGTTAGGTTTCTGTGCTTCTTAGGGACATTACATACACAGAATCTTTTGGAGTGTGAAGGACCCTAGAGAATGATTCTACCCTTAGTTACGTAGTTACTTCACTAATCTTACCTCAACCAACCTCACCCTATGCCAGCATGCCAACTTTAAATAATATTGTTCATCTATCATTCCTGCCCCCTCTAACTTTCATACACACTAATCCAAACTGCACACCTGGCCACTGCTCCGTGCGCCAAACCTCTTTCCTGTTCCTGTTTCCTGTTATGACGTGCCCTTTTAATTATTCCCTTTTTTGTTGGGCACAATTCGGAGCAGGTAAAAGGGGCATTCAAGTGTAGCAGCCACCTGGGAAGGCAGGTTGAGCAAAGCGCCCAGGGAAAAGGGCTCTGGAGCTTGTCTGCGGGCTAATTAGTCTGCCTCCACTGATTAGTACGGGCAACCTCTCACCTGGCAAGCACAATATCAACATGTGACAGCAAAGCAGATGGGGCTATGACAGCTAACATGCAAACGTAAGGCTTAAATCTTATGTTACAATGACCAAAAACTGATATTTTTAATCTAATTTTTTGTTGCAATGATGTAATAGAAAACACAGTCTAATCAAATCTCTCTATGCGAGGAAGCAGTTGTCCAGTAGGAGGCAGTGTTGTGAGACGACAGCAGCAAAGGGAAAGTCCAGCCAATTTAACTGGTGGTCTGCTCTCTCATCATCTTTCTGTGTCAGCATAACATGGGCAATATTTAGACTTAAGAAAACACAACGGCATGTTTTAAATACACAAAACTGAAATGAAAACATTTTTGAAAGAATATGTCCATCAAAAAGTCACTCATATTTTAACTGAAATGTCCATAATTAGTCTAACCACTTTCTTCCTCTTCCCTCCTTCCCTGAAAGAACATGGATGCATATTTATTCTGATACTTTGGCTTAAAAATAAAGTTATTTCTGTTGCAAAATATAAAATCTGCAAAGCCTAATCAAAAATGTATGATAAAATCCACATTATAAACACACGTTCACATTGTTTTCCGACTAAGTAGGACAAAAACGCAACCGCTTTTCAATATTTCTCTGTGGAGGTTGTAGGCTGGAGAACATCTATTAGGAGCTTAGCAAAACACTATCAGCTAATACCACTTGTAATTACAGCAGAAGTGAGGAAACGCAGCAAGCTAACACCAGTATGGTAACAATCAGACAATGCAAACAGTGCGCCTAAGCCACCCTGTGTGCCTACATTTGAGAGAGGTGTTGGACGCATGTATGTGGACGCGCAGAGAGTGTGTGCGAACTGTCAAATTGGAGTGGGTGGGTGGGAGTAGAGGGAGCACATCTGGAGGGAATTTATTGTATAATTCACTCTATTATTGCTGCGGTCAGTGCTTAAGGAGCACGCACACAATTACCGTCCACTCTGCAAGGCTACAAGTGGCCTCTGGCCTAAACCAATAAACTATGGAGGAGGGTGGAGAGATTTGAGGTTATCATCGTCACACTCCTCACTGCTACCTCTCGGACTGACACTTAACAGAGTTTATAATAAATCCAGGAAGAACACAGCCTCTGAAAGCTTGGGTTTTGCCCAAAAATGAATTAAGTCTAATCACGATGGAGAGGATGCAATTGTTGGCCTGGTCACTTTTTTTTTCTTTTTTGAAATATTGTGTTTCGGAATTTAAATTTGTGATTTATACTTTGTTCTGGCAATAAAAGACCATCATCAATCACCAGTTCCTGGCAGTTTGCAGAATTCAGTTGAAAAACATGCTGATAATCAGGGCTGACTTTCACCCATGTAAAACTAATTTAGTCTATTTTTACTTTAGTCTGTTGACATGGAGGATTTGGTGTTAGCAAATTGTGCTTTTATGCTTGCCTTAATTAGATTCTTCTGCTTTTCTCCTTTTTCATTGCATCACTAACAGGCAGGGGAACTCTAATGAGGTGATGTTATAAGTTCATATCTTAAAACAGATTGAAATGAAACATTGCTTTTCTTTTCCGTCTCAGTGGTCACCAAGAATAGGATGCATGAAGACTTTAGCAGAGAAGCATTGGCGCAGGTCACTGTGTATCTGGCCCTAAATGACCCGCCCTTACAAGTGATTTAGGAGCTCCCGACAGCAGCTTGTAATCCTCCACAATAAAGAGCTTCCCCTCTGTGCCTGCCACTGTGACCTGCACTAAAAGTGAAGGCTTCAAATAGCTACACGTGTCGGGTCGCCACCTTTGACCTCACAACTCGCCATGTACTCGCAGCTCCTCAACTTATACTCTATGTGTACAACCCAACGAGGAGCTACGATATCTCCATTTCACTGATTCCTTTTTTCTATATTATTATCTTCAATACTTTAGGAAACTAAAAATGTAACTTGTTTTCAAAACGGTGTTGGGAAAGTCACTCAAATTGTAATATCAATGATTACTATTAATTTGGTTAAAATATTATCAAACACTATCTGTATTTTAATCATTTACTGACTTGTGTTGCACTTCTATGAGTAACTTTAAGTTCTAGTCCAAAACTCAAAGTTATAGTACTGATAATGTTTGAATGACATTTATATAAATATTTTCTGTTTTACGCAGATTTTTATTTCATATTTAACTTTACTTCTCATGTTTTCTTTTTCTCAAACGTAATGTAAACCAAAAAGAAAGGATAAGCATACTTGGATAATTCTAATATGGAGCCCTAATGGCTTTTTCACAATTCCTGTAGGAAAATCTGATCCATCTTTCAATACTATTAGGGAGACCCGGTCACCACTGTGTAGCTCTTGGCTTGGTCAGGACTTCTGGAAGTGGATGATTTTTACCTGTGGTGGGGGAAACCTTAAGTTCTGGAGGAGACCCACCCAGACACAAGGACTCACCCAGCCACTGTGTTGATTCATACACAAGGCAGGCAACTCAAAGTGCTGTATAAAATTGAGCCTTTTTAAAATATTGTTCCACACATGTATGACTAGTACATAACATGCTTCTACTGATAGTTCAGACTATATTGTTCATTTTACAGACTCTTGCATCTTTTTATACAACTCACCGCAGAAGTTGGTCCTTGAAAGGTGTTATGTCTGCCAGGCCTTGTGGATACGCTTCACTATTTACCAATATTGAAATAGCTTTGGATGAAGTGAGTATTGGATCAGGAATGTGCTTGTGGCAGATCTCCACCCCTGATAATATAGGGTGTTTTTCTCCCCAAGTGGTTTTGCCCTCTTGTTTTTCTCTCCAGTTGCATTGCTCTGTCACTCTTCCAGTAAATGTGATGTGTTTTGCTGTGGACGTGTGTAAATGCTTTAAAGGCTGTTTTTATTCCGGTTACTGTCTGTGTTTGTCGTCGTACTATCTTTATAAGCTGTGGGCACCGAGCTGGAATGTAGATTCACACACTCCAAAGAACACATTAAACCCAGCTGGTTACACTCCCTACAGTCGACCTCGGATACATTATCCATTCTAATGTCGTACATTCTACAAAATGTGAAAAAGTATTCACCAATATACAAGACTGAATTTGGCGCGAAATCTTAACGTCTGCCACATCATGCCATCATTTTCCACTGTAATTTAAAACAAACAGAACAACATGTGGATTTGGTTGTGATCCATGCATGTTTCTGAACAATTATCCATGTTCAGGCATAATGAATTTATTTTCATGGAGTTGCACATTACAACAATTATCTTGCAGGACGAGACAAGATTGATGATTTAACCATGGAACAGAAAATCAAGCTCAAACAATCATGGAAAAAAAAAAGCAAATTAAACAGCCTTATATATTTTCTTTAGTGTAGCTACTTAACTCATTTGATGTGTATGTGTGAGTGCATACATGTGTGTGCAGTGTACTTAATAATATTTGTGGTTTGGGGTGGGTCTTTTGGGTGGTCAGGTGGAGGGGTCATGGGCATGTGGAATTGTTTTTTAACCAAAATATCTTTTACCGTATCTTGTATTTCTTGTATTAAATGTGCTTTATTAAAAAAATGTGATTGATTGATAGAAAGTGCATCAATAGTTAGTTTTCCTTAGCAGGGCCACATATGATTATGCAGTGGGCCGCATTTGCCCTGCAGGCCTGAGTTTTGACATGCCTGACCTATATTATATCAAGGCAGCATAGTCAAATGTTTTGCATGTACAAAGGTTTCATT